TGATTATTATTTGATACTGTTAGAATACTAAGAGCTCATTCGCTAAAGATTCTGAAAAAAGTGAAACCAACGTTTTTTTATAATATTTTGTTTCAGTTTTTGAGCGCTGTGTTCAACAAAAAAAAAAAAGATTGACCGCTAATAATCTTTAGCCAAAAAGTGAACAGTTTTTTATTGCTCTGTTTGAAGGTTGATTGATAAATGAAAAAATTTTCAATTTTTTTTTTCCATCTTTTACTTTGACCAATGATTATTTTTACAACTTTTTTTTCACACTTAAACATATGTCGTTGATTTTTTGACCTTAGTGTTCATTACTGACATGAAAGAGCATTGAAAAAAACAAAAAAGACAAACAAATTTTACAACATTGACCTGTAAATTGGCATCTTAAACATTTCCGCTGTTTACGTATCAACCAAAAGATCATTTGATTATTTTGACGCTGAATTTTTTACAAACACTAATAGCTGATAATAGTGAAAAAGTTGTTCAACAATTGATTAAAACCTATCAATTTAATCTTAGGTATTAGTCAGTAATTAAAATAGTGCAAATTTGTTGTTGTTGTTGTTGTTGTTGTTGTTAAGTTAATACTTTAAAAAAGATGAAACAAAATAAAAAGTTTAAAAGGTTGTCGATAATAATAAAATGCAAATTGTCTTCTTTGTTTCGGAATTTTGATTTGTTTACTCAGTTCTGTGATCACCCAAAAACTTACAGCTCAGAATCCTTAGGTTGCATCGTTGACTGTCCAAAGGCCATTTAGCTAAATCCATCATACACATAACCACCATCGATATCCTAATAATAATAAAAAAAAACAAAAAAAAAAAAAACAGTATTGTTCATGTTTTTTCCGGTTTTATTTTGTTGTTATTATTTAGTAAACATCAAAAAACCGTTGAATAACACATTTTCCGTCAAACATAACGTCATTTAATTACTTGAATTTTTTTTTTCTTTCTTCAAAATATTCAACATTTTCTTCTTTTCTTTTTGCAAAAAAAAAATATGACACTTTTTAAAAAATTTTTTAATTACACAAAAAAAGAAAAGAAAAAATTATTGGGTAACAATTTTTTTCCTTTTTTTTGGTTATAATAACTGAGAAGACAGACGAAAAAGGTGATGAACAAAAAAAGAAGGGTTCAATTTATGCGCTACTGGAAAAGCCTTCTTATCAATTGCAAAAATTTTAATCAGTTAAAAAACCGAAGCTTTTTCTTTTTTGTTGCTTCATCTATTCTTTACCTAGTTTCATAAAGTATAGATCCATCTTGTTGTATCCACATCAAAAAATTTGGCTGTGTTACACCATGAAAATCGGCAGTTCGTGTATTTGCAAAATATATATCCGGATGCCAAACTTTTTGCAGCAAATTTTTGTCCCGTATTAAAACACGTCTACAAAACTGTATTAGAAAATTT